GCTGGAAAACTGCACTGCCCTGTGAAAAAGGCCCCAGTGAGGACAGAACAGCCCATAATACTCAGTTTTCCTCCACAGAATCTGTCCCTGATCTCCACAGGAGCCTGGTGTGTACAGACAGAGCGAGGCTCCTCACTGAACCCTGGGCACGCTGTCCATGCCCAGCAGGTGCACAACGTTCCCTGCAGCCACTTTGCTCCCAGCAAAATTGAAATTTGATTTGCAATCCAGGCTTCAAACTCAGCCTCGTTGTTGTGTAACTTTGCTGTGTGTGAGCTGAACTTTCCATCTCATCACAACAGTGAGGAGACTCTGGCCAAGCCAGGTCCAGGTCCAGGGGCTGAGGGAATTGGGAATTCCATGGGAATTGGGATTCCCTAGGACCAGCCAGCCTGAGAAAAGGAGAGGGATCCTCACCTGCTGCTGCTCCTGCCCTGGGTTTTTACACCACAAAATACAATTTTTTTTTTTTTTTTAATATTTATTTGAGTACAGGAGTGAATTTTGATGTGACTTCAGTGTCCACTCCGAGGGAATTACTGAAGTGTTGAATATCCCAAGGTATTTAATATTTACAGGAAGAGACTCTGGAGCTTGATAAATATTCACTGAAAGCATCTGAGGCTTAAATGGCCATTAATTAGTTACACCATTATTAATTACACCTTTATTAGTTACTCCATCAGCAGTTACAGGTGGCAGCAAGCAGAGCAGACCCAGCTGCAGTGGGATTTAATTCCCTGGGTTTTTACAGCATCCCTTTTCCAGTCATCCACCAGTTTATCACAAAACCCTCCCATCCTCCTTAGTCCTGAGGCCCCTGGGAATTGCCCAGTCTCTGCCAGGGGCACTGCCCAGGGAATGCCAGGCAGGGAATGCCCAATTCCTGGCATTTTGCTGATCCAGAAGCATTGGGATGAAATCCAGCAGGGTCACTGTGCAGGTTTCCCCTCACCAAAGCAAGGGCAGGGCCTGTGCTCGGAGTTCCTGGAGCTCCAGGAGGCTCCTGGTCCTGGCTGGATGGGGCTTCTCTCTTTTGTAAAAGGAATTTCATATGCTGAGACTCTTTGTACATATTTATAAGGAATTTATTAAAAAAAAAAAAAAAGAAAAATAACTGTTCAATGGCAAAAAAAAAAAAGGCTCTGAGTTTTATTTCCTCTCTCTGGGGAATTTCCTTCCACAGCCTTCCCTGTTTTCCCATGGAAATCAACAATCATTGGAACTGAAGTTTCCCCTGGATGTTTTTTGTCATGTTCTAGGAGAAGGTAGGACCATCCTCCAAAAAAAATCCCAAAATTTAAGAATGCAAACCCACACTTTCCCTGTGATTTCCTGCCTTACCACCAATAAAAACCGAATTTTGAAGCAGTGTAGCCCACACTTTCCTACTGGGCTTTTCCTACACTCCTCCAAACACATTTTCCAGGAGCATTTAGGGAAAAAAATTGAGAATGAGAAGCAGCTTTTGAAACAGTTTGAAAGCAGCAACACCAAGCCTTGGGTTCCCTGGCACTGCAGTGACACTGAGGCCTTTCAGAACCTCCCTGCCTGTGGAATCACCCATTTCCCTTTTCCTGGTCAATATTCCAGACTATCACACACCACATTTGTTATGCCCAATGAAAAATTGCTCCCTGCCATTCTGAGCTCTCCCATCCCACAGACAGGGAGCTGTTCCCATTGCAGAGAGCAATGGGATTCCTTGGCTCAGTTCACTTTCACAGGGTCCATCAGACAGGAATTTGACATCACTTTGCTTTGGAAATTAAAGCTTTTCCTGCTCTGCTTCCCTGGACCTCTCAAGCCAGGTCTGGACTCTGCCCAGCTTTCACCACTCCTCAGCCACTCTGAGCTTATTCCACAGAAATGTGGAGCTTCACTCCTGCTCCCATCAGCTCCTGTTGGCTTGAATTCCTCCCTGTGGAGTCTCCAGCAGCACAGCCAGAACCTCCTTCCCTCAGGAGCCTCTTCCTGCTGCTGCTCAGGTGGGGCTGTCACCTTCAGCCATTTCCATGGCAATGAGCTGGGGATGCTGCTGCTCCTCGGGGTGGTTTGGGGACAGGGAAAGCTCCAGAACAAACTGCAGCTCCTCCCTCTGAGGGCTTGTGCTGCTGGAGAAGCTCAGCAGAGAGCTCAGCCACAGGGACTGGGTAATTCCTGTTCATTCCTGCCAGGGATCTCCTCCCTCAGGAGCTCCTGCTGAAGCTCAAGGCTCTGGTTTGCCCTGCTGGAGGAGCACAGGGCAGGGACACTGAGCTGTGAGATGCTCTTAGACAGGTGCTGCATTTCCATCCAGACAAACCCAACTCAACTTCAACCTCCCTCTGCTCTCCCCAGAGACTGGGAAATCACAAAGTCTCACCATGAAAGTTAAAGAGGAAGAACATTTCCAGGGAAAGGAGGTGTCACTTCCAGCTCCACTGGCAAGGTCCTTCCCAAGCTCCCTGTGATTCTCCTAAGGTGACAGCATGTGCCATTTGTGGAATCAACTGGGAAATGCCATTTCTGCAACTGCAGCTCTGGACAGGAGGTTCTGAAGCCCTGCTTGGGAAGAGTTCTCAGAGAGAGGTGCTGTGCAATTCTGTGAAGTGATGGACTCAGGGAATGCAGGCCCAGGGGATGTGGAGCTCCTGAGCCAGAGCACAGCTTTGTTCAGCACTCACAGCTCCCCTGCCCTGGACACACTGTTTGTCTGTACTGAAAGGAAAACAGGAAACATCCCAGACACTTTACAACCCTGTAAGCTCCAGAAACACCCTGGAGTTTATCACAACATAACCCACACCTCCCCTGCCTTCCAGGGTAAAGTTTCTGCCCAGTCACAATTGTTCTGTTGGCT